GAAACCAGACTATGTGAAATTCCTGCAAAGAAAGTTTAGTTTTTTCACCAGATTCATTATAAGTGAGTAATCTATAAGAATATTTTACCTTTACTCACTTTTAATACGTGCTGAAATTGGTCGTTATAACTGCAACTAAAGTACAGCTAAAAGGCTAATGCTAAAGTTTGTTGCTATGGTAATTTAATATTCTCTGGTGGAAACCGAGTTAAAGGGAGAACTCCTCATCTTTCAAAAGTAAAAGTAAAATGTCTTCATAACCGTTCATCACATTTAAAACATGCAGATTTGATTGGTTCCCTTCACAAAACACTTGGTGCTGAATCTTTCAATCTGTTACATCATAGACACAACGGTGGAAACTTTTTCTGCATTTTCAAACACATTAATTGTAGGGATATAGTCTAAGACAGTGTCTCCCAAAGTGGGGTCCGCGGCCCCCTGGTGGGCCGCGAGGGTACTGCAGGGGGGCCGCGGGAGGTCATAAAAAAAATAAAAAAATAATATAATTATTTAATGTTAAATTTATAATGTTTTGTTTGTAATATTAAAATATGTGTGTTCATTATTTGACTTGAATAATCCACTGTAATCATTTTTGTATTACAATGTTTGTAGCAGAGGCTATTTCGCCAAAATAAAATAACCAGAAGAGCCGATTCTTAATGTTGTCTTCTTGGTTATTATTTTGGGGGGCCACGCAGACCCGTCAGATTTTTAAGGGGGCCTCGGTGTTACTGAGTTTGGGAATGGCTGGTCTAAGATATTCGTTTTCTCAGCCTTTGCATTTTTGACTTATCTATGTCGAATACTGTGGGGGAAAAACATCTTTATCAAGCCACCGATTTGTGCGGGTCCTCCCTCTGTAAACAATGAGAGATGACTGTGATCGTTACATTCGAACATTAAAGACTAAATTCTACTAAGTATCCAATCTGGGATGATCTGTCTAATGATACAGCCTCAGTCCTTCCTGGATCTACAGCCTCAGTCCTGGGTCTACAGGCCTCAGTCCTGGGTCTACAGCCTCAGTCCTGGGTCTACAGCCTCAGTCCTGGGTCTACAGGCCTCAGTCCTGGGTCTACAGCCTCAGTCCTGGGTCTACAGCCTCAGTCCTGGGTCTACAGCCTCAGTCCTGGGTCTACAGGCCTCAGTCCTGGGTCTACAGCCTCAGTCCTGGGTCTACAGCCTCAGTCTTGGATCTACAGCCTCAGTCCTGGGTCTACAGCTTTGGTACAGCCACAGAGAAGGCCCTGTCTCTGGAGCTGGACCTCGGACCTCAGCCTGCGGGGGCGGGAGATACATTTGGATGAGGTCCGGGATGTAATGAGGGGCCAGTCCATTCAAAGCTTAAAAAACAAACAATACAATCTTAAAATCAATTCCAAAATTAACAGGAAGCCAGTGCGAAGAATGGGCTGGTGCTATGTGACTTGGGTGGTATCTCAGATTGCCACCCCCCTGACCCAGAAATGGATTAAGGAGTAGAAAATGGATGGATGGATTGATAAAATGCCAAAAGCCCAAAGTGCTTTACAAATTGTCTGAAAACAATAAACAGAAATATAAAAAGAGAGATTCAGCTCAACGCATGTTAAAAAGCCAGTGAAAAGAAATGGGTCTCAAGAAGGGATCTAAAATGGACCAGTGAATCAGCGGCACTGACCCGCGGTGGCAGATTGTTCCAAAGCCAGGGCCCGGCCACAGAGAAGGCTTGGTCCCCTCTACTCTTCATATTGGATCTGGGAACTTTTAAGCCTAGCGTACATTGACAGAGTAACTGGAGACAACAAGTTGCAAGACGGCTTTTTGCAACTGAGAGGAGATGATCAGTTGCTGAAATCGGTCGATGTGCGCGCTCTTACAACTGGAGATAAACAGTCGATCTCCGGATTCAGTCAGTTGCCCGTGTTCTACTTTTCAGCAACTGTACTCAGATCCAGAGATATCACCCGATGTGCGCACTCCAACAGTTTAAGTCAGAAAACACACTGTAGTTGAGGCCAGTTGCTGTCGATGCACTCGCTGTTATTCCCCAGACTGGCCTGCTACTAGGAGTTGGCCGTTTTCACCAGATTGTCGATGTGTGCGGGGCAGCAACTCATATGCGACGGATATAATCAGTTGCCAGTCCGATGTACGCTTGGCATTTGGAGCAACTGGGAAGATGACTTTGTAGTTCTTACAGAATCCTGAATACACAATAGTTCATTAAAATATGACGGGGCCAGCCCATGAAGACATTTTAAAACAAATAGAAGCATTTTAAACTGAATCCAGTATGTGACAGGAAGCCAGTGCAGTGATGCCAGCACAGGGGTTATGAGAAGAAACTAAAACAGGAGAAATGTGCTCACTTTTTTTTTTATAACAAAATCATTTCTGCTTGTCCAGATGCGGAATCTTGTTTTAAGGCTCAGTCAAAATGTGCTCAGATTGACTCAGTGACTGCCGGCCGTTTTTGATGATTTCACTGATTCTCAAGACCCACAGAATATTATTTCCTAAGACTATGTGAAATAGGAAACCAGATTCTGAAAGACTGGATTGTCTACTTTCATCCGCAAAAATAAGTTTGTTTCCAGCTATTTCTGTTCTCCTGTAATCCCCGGTCGAATAGAGGGTCTCAGACAAATACGTCGATGGCGTATTTGACTGATTATTGACTTATGTTTCTCGCAGTGTAGTGTCGTCTTGAACAGTCTGGACCATTTCTAGAGTGTTTTGAAGCCGTCCCGGATCCGCACGCTGAAGGTTGAATGGACTCTTACTTTGCCAGTCTGCGATTCCCTCGTCGTCCTCTCATGCGACCACAAACACAAGGATGAGCCTGAAACCCTCGGAGCCCCGTCTGCCGTCGGGAGTTGGAAGCTGCAAACAAAATGGAATTGAAATTGTGTTTTGGTGAACAGTGTTTGGACGGATCATCTCTTTTTCCAAGAACCCATCGGCCTCCTGAGCCTGAGCCTTAATCTGCCTCGGGCTCTCTGCTCCTGTCATTGTTTCATAAATGTGCTGCTTGGATTATTGTGACCCTGGATTATGTTAATCTGTCCACTCAGGTGTCTGGGGCCATGGGGGCAAGAGATTAAACTTTCATTTGTTTTGACCAAACATGACCCAGACCAAATTCAACATGAACTTTCACTAGAGATATAGATAAAGGGGGCAGAGAGGTAGAGAGGTCAAATACAATCCAGTTTATTTAGAAAACACTGATAAAAACAAGGTTGACCAAAGTGCTGTACATAATAAGACATACAAAAAAATTACATTTAAAGAATACAAAGCAGTGGCAAAAACACACTATTTACAGCAAATAAAATCAACAATACAAAATTAATTAAAAGCCAATGAGAAACAGATAGAGATAGATGGATGGATGGATGGAGATAGATGGATGGATGGATGGAGATAGATGGATGGATGGATGGATGATGGATGGATGGGAGGGTAGGTAGGTAGGTAGATAGATAGATAGATAGATAGATAGATAGATAGATAGATAGATAGATAGATAGATAGATAGATAGATAGATAGATAGATAGATAGATAGATAGATAGATAGATAGATAGATAGATAGTACTTTAGGTCACAGCAGCAGAGGTGGTGAAGCCGCTGGTGAAAAGTCATGTATGCAGAGTCTGCTTTGGTCTGATTATTTTCTCTGCTTTGGTTCAGAGTGAAATTCTTTAGAAATGATCATTCCTCCAGTGGATTTCCGCTTGATCTGATTGGTTGGGACCATCCTCTCTGCTCTGGTCTGGATCAGTGTGAACACCATGAACTCTGTACTGTAGTAATATTTACAGAGAGAGAAAAAAATCACTAAAAATAACAATTGTATAACAAAAAACAACTGTTTCATAGCGACTTAGAACTCGCTGCTGTTTCCGGGACGATCAAAAGTAAATAATTTAGTCGCGTGAGTCATATGTAGGGGTCGGGAGGGGGGAGTGGTTTGGTGGAGAGGTGAGGGGAGGGGGAAGTGGTTTGGTGGAGAGGTGAGGGGAGGGGGGAATGGTTTGGTGGAGAGGTGAGGGGAGGGCGGAGTGGTTTGGTGGAGAGGGAGGGGAGGGGGGGGTGGTTTGGTGGAGAGGGAGGGGAGGGGGGAGTGGTTTGATAGAGAGTGAGGGGAGGGGGGAGTGGTTTGATGGAGAGTGAGGGGAGGGGGGAGTGGTTTGGTGGAGAGGTGAGGGGGGGGGAGTGGTTTGATGGAGAGTGAGGGGAGGGGGGAGTGGTTTGGTGGAGAGGCGAGGGGAGGGGGGAGTATTTTCCAGGGGGTGCTACGGCTAAGCTAACAAAATCGCTTACTACACCTTTAATGGAAAGCTCTCGAACCCGTCGACTGCATTCCTTTGTGCTGACATTGGTTTTTGATTGATGCTAATGTGAGATAGTGCAACTGTAATGTGCACAACGGTGACATTGAAAATTCCCAAAAGATAAAGGTCGTCTAATCTTTTGGAAATTAGTTAATCCTTGTTAATCCCTTGTTTCAGCAGCAGAGACATTTCAGAACTGCTCCCTCCTAGTGACGTGTCATTTATCAGCTGATGGTACTTCCTGAGTGGGCGTGGTCAGTCTGATTGACAGGACACACAGACTGGCCACGCCTCCTCCCGCCCGATGGTCTCTGGAGGAGGGTGTCCCGTGTGTGCGGCAGGAGGAAGGCTCCCTCGTCCCGGTTGATGCTGATCCACTTCCTGATTTGAACCGCCTCCTTGATCCAATGTGTGTGTTTTCTCTGGAGGGACCTGAGGGGGCGTGGTCAATCAGGCTGGTCTCGGAGCATCTATTCCAATGTGTCTCTCTGTTGCCTGGGAACACCTTGGAATTCCCCCAGACTGCTGCCCCTGCAAACCAACGACGGATAAAGCGGAAGAAATGGATGGATGGGCATTTTCTGATAATCACTCTGGAGTCACATCTGTTTTATTGTACAACGGTCACAGAACAAGGACAGCGCTGTTACCTGCACTAACATGTGGTCGCCGTCTACATCAGGTGGAGGTCAGGGGAGAGGGAGGAGGGAGGGCAGCAGGAGAGGGAGGGGGGAGGGCAGCAGGAGAGGGAGGGGGGAGGCAGCAGGGAGAGGGAGGGAGGAGGCCAGCAGGAGAGGGAGGGGGGAGGGCAGCAGGAGAGGGAGGGGGGAGGCCAGCAAGAGCGGGAGGGAGGAGGCCAGCAGGAGAGGGAGGGAGGAGGCAGCAGGAGAGGGAGGGAGGAGGCAGCAGGAGAGGGAGGAGGCAGCAGGAGAGGGAGGGGGGAGGCAGCAGGAGAGGGAGGAGGCAGCAGGAGAGGGAGGGGGGAGGCAGCAGGAGAGGGAGGGAGGAGGCAGCAGGAGAGGGAGGAGGCAGCAGGAGAGGGAGGGAGGAGGCCAGCAGGAGAGGGAGGGGGGAGGCAGCAGGAGAGGGAGGGAGGAGGCCAGCAGGAGAGGGAGGGAGGAGGCAGCAGGAGAGGGAGGAGGCAGCAGGAGAGGGAGGGGGGAGGCAGCAGGAGAGGGAGGGAGGAGGCAGCAGGAGAGGGAGGAGGCAGCAGGAGAGGGAGGAGGCAGCAGGAGAGGGAGGGAGGAGGCCAGCAGGAGAGGGAGGGAGGAGGCAGCAGGAGAGGGAGGGAGGAGGCCAGCAAGAGAGGGAGGGAGGAGGGCAGCAGGAGAGGGAGGGGGGTCAGGAGCTGCACAGATGTTGGTGCAGTTCTACACGGGCATCGTCGAGTGCATCCTCACCTGCTCCATCACCTCCTCCATCACCCAAACCCGAGCAGAGAAGGTGATCGGCCGCAGCCTTCCATCGCTGCAGGACCTGTACGTCGCCCGAGCTCGAGGCCGGGCTGGTCGTATCCAACCACGCCCCTCTCACCCTGCACATGGACTATTCCAACCACTCCCCTCAGGCAGGAGGCTGCGGTCCATCAGGACTAGAACCTCCCGCCACAAGAACAGTTTCTTCCCCTCTGCTGTTGGACTCTTGAACACTTCATAATCCACCTCTGACATTATGAACGTCACTTTATGCTACTGTCACGTACTGTCATGTTACTGCACTCCTCCGCTGCCCTAACAGTCTGTTGTGTGCACCTAGTGCACTGTTACAGTAAACTGAAGACATTTATGTAGATTTTTATTTATGCCTATTTGATTTTATTCTACTTAAACTTGTTTGCACTGAGAGCCAAAGACATGACTCACATGGCAATAAAAGGATTCTGATTCTGAGAGGGAGGGGGGAGGCCAGCAGGGGAGGGAGGGGGCAGCAGGAGGGGGAGGGGGCTTTTATAGGCTGAAGGGAGGAGTGTGCAACAGCTGTATCTGTGTATGTGTGTGTCAGTAACAAACTAATGTGTCTGGGTGATGGAGCAGTGATGGAGCAGAGAGGGTCTCCACATGTGGGAGCTACTTCAGACTCGAGCCTCTTCACACGGATCACGTTTCACCATAAATGCTGCAGTGTCACATGTCAATAGTCCACTCCACCCCCGCCATCACCGCTGAAGCACCAATCATGGTATCATCCGTCTGCATGAGGCCCCGCACCGCTGAGCACTGACTGGTGTTCTGCTGATCGCCTCCATCATCAGGGACGGCATCAGGGCTTTGACTAGTGTCGGGAGTAATAAGTTACTAAAGTAGATTAATTACTGTAATGTATTGCTATGCAGTACCGGGAAATATATTAATCCTTACAAAGCTCAGTAACCCAAAATTAAATAGTGTTTTGTTTTTATCCTCCGCACCGTGAGATCAGCAGGAGACACATCTGCTCACATGGTATGTACTGTACCTAGAAGTGTTGATCCTTTCTGGTAGAAGACGCTAAAGCAGAGGCAGAACTATGTGGACAATAGAACATTTTACAGATGGACAGACTCATTATTTAGAGTTTGTTAAAGATGTAAAAAAACAGTTACGTTTATGTTCGAACCAAAAGCTCTGTCAGCCTCAAGCTAGCATCATAAGCTACATTTAGTTTGTATTTATATATATAGCATCATAAGCTACATTTAGTTTGTATTTATATATATAGCATCATAAGCTACATTTAGCAAAAGCTTCCGTTCACAGCTGGAGCTCTGGTGCTTACGTATTAAGACAAGCCCTCATTGGTCCTCGCATCACTCTGGCCAGTCGTTGTTTACTCCTTTGCTCTTATCAATCCATTTTTCTGATTTGATTTTGTCTCGGTCTATTTTTTGTCTCGTCTTTTATTCGTGGACAAAAATTTTGCTCTATTTAGTCATTGTCTCAATGAATGACTTCTATTTTAGTTTGTTTTCGTACCCAAAAATGTTTTTGGGACAAAAAATATGATGGTGTGGAGGGTGCGGGGCTGATTTCAGTTACGTGCCCGTGGTAGAAGCCTGGAGCACCAGCACCCTAACCAGGCGCCCGTCAGCCCAAACATGACCCACGCAGACTTTTCCCGCTCAGTGATGCGTCTTTCAGTCCAAATACAAACTTATAAAGATACAATATATGCTATTAAAATTAGTTTTTGTTAACGGCATTAATACATTTAACTATTTATAACTGATGATAACTAATTTTATGTTGTTTTTCAGTATGTTGTTTTTAGCGTGAATTAGGATAAAGTGTCTCCTCTGATGGAACAAGCGGGAGAGTGCCTTTACATCATGTGTGTCATTTCATATTTTCTCTTTCGATCTGAGACGATGTTCCAAGAATGGTTCACATTTATGATTCACGAGCGTCCAGCCGGAGATGACGGATGCGGCGCTGTGCGGTGAATGTAAAAGCTGTGAAGTCATTTAGAAAGTGTCTGTTTAAGCCAAATGGATTTGATCTGAAGTGAGGGGATAAGCTCCAACACGGATTTACTTTCAGAAATAACTAATAACTAAGTGATGTCGCTTGAAGTGTTTAACCCATGTGCATTTTGGGTAATGGAGGAAACCGGAAGGCCTGAAGGTCAGTCGCACGGACACATAAAACTGGAACTTGGAGCCTCACTTTAGAGACGGATCTGCTCCCATTGATCCAGGACTCAGGCTGTAGATCCAGGACTGAGGCTGTAGACCCAGGACTGAGGCTGTAGACCCAGGACTGAGGCTGTAGACCCAGGACTGAGGCTGTACACCCAGGACGTAGACCCAGGACTGAGGCTGTTGACCCAGGGCTGAGGCTGTAGATCATCTATTGTTGTGATGATCTCCTCGTCTCTGTTTGCACGAGCCCAGAGCTGTTGAACTTAGCAGGAGGTCCGCAAACAGGGGTGCAGTGGCCCAGCTTCACACGGCCCACACTGACAGCTCCGGCGCCCGTTAGTATCCCGGGAACGCAGTCGTTGTAAAGGAGTAAATGATGTGTTTCCTGCCAAGAGGAAAAGTAGATTTGGAACAGCCCCAGACTCTGGCTCATGTCTGTGTCTAATAAACAAACAACGAACAAGAATGTTTCAGGTTTTTACTTTTGGAATCGCAGGACCAAGAAGAATATTCTACTTTTAAATTACCCTTCATTTTAGTCTATTATTATTATTATTATTATTATCATTATTTTTATTATTATTATTACTATTATCATTATTATTATTATCATGATTTGTATTATTATTATCATTATTATTATTATGGGGGCGACAGTAGCTCAGTTGGTAGAGCATTGGCCTTAAGGCCAGAAAGTCGTGGGTTCAATTCCCACCTATGCTCACACTCAGAGAGCAGCCGTCCTCCTGTGGACTCACCACCTGCAGAGGGTCAGTGAGGGGCTGGTGCTATGAGACTTGGGTGGTATCTCTGATTGCCACCCCCCTGACCCAGAAATGGATTAAAGGGTAGAAGATGGATGGATTATTATTATTATTATTATTATTATTATTAACATTATTATTGTTATTATTATTATTATCATTATTATTATCATTATTTGTATTATTATCATTATTATTATCATTATTATTATTATTATCATTATTATCATTATTTGTATTATTATTATTATTATCATTATTATTAACATTATTATTATTATTATTATCAGTATTATTATTATTATTATCATTATTAATAATATTATTATTAACATTATTATTATAATTAATAGTATTATTATTATTATTGTTATCACTATTATTATTATTATTATTATTATTATTATTATTATTATTATCATTATTATTATTAACATTATTATCGTTATTATTATCATTATCTAAGACTTGGTGATATCCGACAGATTGCGTGGGTTTAAAGGTAGATTCTTTTGAACCGTTGGCAGCGTTATAATCCTCACAGTTTGGGTGATTTTTCAGATTTCTACACATGATTCTTTAGTGAATGTGATGTTGTTAAAAGCAGTAGTTTCCGTGTGAGGCCTGAGCTCAGGACGATTCCCATCAGTCCTTTCTGACGGTTTTACTCCGTGATTTATGGACACATTTAATCCTTATTTGAAAAGACCATAAAACCTTCATCTCACGGAGGCTGTTCTCCGCTCAGCATTGTTTCATCTCGGATCAGGACGACGGTCTGTGTAAAACTGAGAGAATGCATTTGCTCAGAGATATCATTTGTTCTTCATTCATTTCAATTCAATGTGTTTTTACTGTCTCAGGACGTTAGGACACACTCTGATAAACAAGATACAAGATTATTATTTATTATTTATCGATGAAGATAATATGCCACACTCCATCCTGCTGTACAACAACTGTATCTGCTTTATTTGTATATATTGTACATTTACAGATGTGTAATGCCCTATTATCTGTGTCTTTTATACTGTATGTGTACAGATTCACAGATATATTCCTTTATATTCCTGAGTAACCACATCCAGATGATTCTATTCTCACAATATTATATTATTATTATTCTTATTTTCAGGTTGTTACTTTAATGTTACTTTCATTGTTATTCATATGTGGAATACTCTGCGAGCTGCTGGGACAACGCAATGTCCCTGTGGATTAATAAAGTCTGTCCAAGTCTCAGTCTAATATCAATCCCATCATGAGACCTCCCCCACCGACTCCCACTGATGTCTGCTGGTGTCGTGTCCTTGGGCAAGACGCTTAAGTATGGTGCCAGATTCACGCCAAGTCCACTCTCGCAAATAATACATACACGCGCAGCTTTGTTTAATTCACACGTGCGCAAACTACTCTACACGAACAGATCCTCTCACTACACGAGCAGATCCTCTCACTACACAAACAGATCCTCTCACTACACAAACAGATCCTCTCACTACACAAACAGATCCTCTCACTACACAAACAGATCCTCTCACTACACAAACAGATCCTCTCACTACACAAACAGATCCTCTCACTACACAAACAGATCCTCTCACTACACAAACAGATCCTCTCACTACACGAACAGATCCTCTCACTACACAAACAGATCCTCTCACTACACGAACAGATTCAGGCCTTCTCCCTTCTCCTGGTCTGTGTTCTGCGTGCGTTGAAACATTTTGGCATCTCTTCCACACACACGTGAAAAACTTGTGTCCTACATTATTGATAATGCTGTTTCAGCTACAGTTGAACCTGATGAAATCTCACACAACAAAGAGACAAAGTTAATCTTTTACTTGTTACATTGTACAAGGAGAATGTCTTGACAGAGGCAAGGCACAGACCCCAGCCTCTCTCAGGACAAGTCTGAAGATTCGCAGTCTACAAGCCCCTTTTGGTAGAGCAAGACACACCTTCGTATGCAGATGGGAAAGGAAGAAACCAACACAACAAAAGACACTTAGCATATGAGCTCCCCAGACCTCCCGGTGTCTTCCTGAAGCTAAAGTGAATTACAATACAGAGCATTCAGCACATAGCCACATATGATTTACCAAAATGATAACTTAAGTTACATTCCAATATCAATTATCTAATAATCAAAAAGCCCAATCCATAAGTAATCACTAGGTTATGTCGCTAGATGTAATCATGATCAGTCAAGTTAAAGCAAGCTCATTTTTAGCGCCGCTATAACAAATATAACCTCTGGTTAGCATTTTAGCCACGCAGCTGTTTTGCTAAGTTAGCTTGGGAGGCCCCTTCGTTATAGTCTGAGGAAAGACAGCCTTCAAACTAAACAGTGGTTCATAATTTAGCCTGCGTAGCCTTCTAATCACAACAGAAGGCTACCATACTGTAAAACAAAAGTGATCAAGCCATATACCACTAAAAAGGTAAAAATTGCCTGAGCTAATGTTGATTTTTTTCCTCTATCAGGAGAACCATCTATGGACAGGACTGTTACAGCCCATAGTCTGTGCTGTGCATCTGAGGAGGGGACTACTTGGCTGAATGACGGAGAGACATGATGTGGATTTGTGTTTTCTTTTATTTTGTACAGAGCTACTGGTAAAAGTCATCCAGCGGCCCTCTGTGTGTCCTGGTCCTTCTCCAGACAGCGCAGAACATGGAACAAAACGCAGATTACACTAATAAAGGGGTTACAAGCCACCGCAGTCATGTCACAGTTTTATTGATAATTTTACCGAGTTGCTTTCAGTTGTATGCACAGATTTTGATCGTTTGGTTATTACAGGTGATTTTAATATTCATGTGGATAATGTTGATGACAGAAATGCAAATGAGCTGAGTTTCTGTACTTGAATCCTTTGGTCTCACTCAGCACGTGAGTGGCCCCACCCACAGCAGAGGACACACTCTAGATCTGTTAGTTACTAAGGGGGTGAATATTTCAAATGTAAACGTGGTCGATGTTGCTCTTTCGGATAATTTCTGTGTTTTTTTTTACATATGTTTCACTAACACATGTCACTAACTAACCAGAAATCTAGGGGTAATACTGGACTCAGACTTAAATTTTAATAGCCACATTAAATCAGTAACATCAGCAGCTTTTTATCATCTAAAAAACATTGCCAGGATCAAAAACATAGTGTCTAAAGCAGACCTGGAGATTCTTATCCATGCATTTGTCTCCAGTAGGTTAGACTACTGCAATGGCCTGTTCACAGGTCTGTCCAAACAGGCTGTAAAACAGCTGCAGTACATTCAAAATGAAGCAGCTCGAGTCCTGACAAGAACCAGGAAGTACGACCACATTAGTCCGGTCCTCAGGTCTCTGCACTGGCTTCCTGTGGCTCAGAGAATAGACTTTAAAACAGCTCTGCTTGTGTACAAGTCTCTCCATGGCCTCACACCAAAATATATTAGTGACATGTTAGTCCCATATGAACCAGCCCGGACTCTGAGGAGCACAGGGACTGGACTCCTGTTAGTGCCCAGAGTCAGAACTAAACATGGGGAGGCTGCTTTTCAGATTCATGCTGCTAACAATCTTCCTGAAGATGTGAGACAGGCCTCCTCTCTGACAATGTTTAAAACCAGGTTAAAGACAGTTCTGTTTAGCTGTGCATACAACTGAGGGATTTTATATTTTTATCTTTCTTTTTAATGTTCTGTGATTATTTATGATTTTAATGCTTTCTTATTTTGTTCAGCACTTTGAATTGCCTTGTGTATAAATTGTGCTATATAAATAAACTTGCCTTGCCTTGCCTTGCACCAGGTCAAGACTGTAAATGAACATTAAAAGGAAGTTACATGTCCAGACCCTGCCATACAGGAACAGTTCAGGGTAAGGATGTACCCCAAGTCTTTGTAGACGTACACCCAGGCATCATAAGGCTTTGACTTAATGCCCACTCTCTGACTGTGGAGCACCTCAGCCTCAAAACATAGAACTCAGTCCCAGAGTGGAAGTATTTCACTTAACAGATAATTGTCTGCATCTATAGATTAATTTGATTTTGGGTTCTCTTTTGTTTAGACACCGGGGGCTTGAATGAGGTAATTATAGATATTAGGCCAAGAAACCGAGGGCCATTTACTTCTATCTACAACCCACTGTTCTGTGAGAATAGTGCTATTATTATTATTATTATTATTATTATGTGTTTATTTGATGGGCACAGAACCAAACGCATTGGTACAGGTAACCGATGCCATGTTCATAAGCCTTAAGGCTAAAAGCTAATTTGCAGAAAGTAAGTGATACTTTCAAATTGTCAACCAATTAAATGTGAAAACAGACCAGATTTTTTTTTCTAAAGTTTAATTTTTAGAGAAAAAAGACGGAAACTATCACGTCCGATACACATTTTTCAAGGGTCATTTATTAAATTAATTATGTGTTCTTTTATAACGATTCCTTTTTATATCAAGTGATTTACTTATGTTGAGTTTTTTCAGACTGAGGACATTTCATTTTCTATGGAACAGTAAAATGATCCAATCAGAGGCTGATTTGGTCATTTTAAATGTTGCCAAAAATATATTTGTCCATCTTTCCTTTTGATTTCATCCAAACTATCTCTTCAATGTTTTTGTGTTTGAAAACTTTTTTCCAATCTATGAAAATCATTTGTGTGGCCCT